GTTATCTTTCAAAATCAATAGACAGTCATATTTACCCATGGTATAAAATCCATCATTAGTGAAGTAACTTTCACCTGTAAATAAATTCTCTTGTTTTATTAAAAAATAAAGATTAACTAATATTAATAACTTTTGAACGTTTTTATATTAACAATAATAACAATAATAAAATCTATCAAAAACAAAATACTTACCAGCTTCAACACAAACATAGACCTCTAAACTAGAATGAAATGTACAAGTGACTAGTGATCTAACTATTATGGCTGTATTTATTATTTGTTTGAAAACAAATAAACATAATAATTAGATGAATTTTATATGATAATGACAATGAAAATTAATAAAAAAATAAAAAATCATACAATCTCCTACATATGTTGGTCTAAGGAATTGAAGAGAGTCGATACTAAAAAAGAGACGTGTATATATATTATTATTATATAAATCTAGGTTGTACGAAATAAAACTTTTTTTAATAAAACCTTGCCAATAATAAAAATCTTCTGGAATGTCTTGAAGCACTAACAATACTACATTGTTCCATCCATTTCATAATTTGACCTCCAAATGTGATCTTTGAATTTTTTTAATAAAATTATGAATAAAAAACCAATAAATATATTTTTTTTAAAAGAAACTTTCTCACACCTGTAATGTGTTGGCATTTTGAGGCATAACAGTCTCTACTATTTCAGCAAAACTTTCTAATGTGAGTTTATCATCTGGTTGTAATGGTAAGGTACCTTGAAGTGTTGACCTTCGTCTTAATAATAATTTCGCCGGATCTTTTCCTTTAGCTTCGTTATCATTATCAAGATCTGGTAATAATGGTGGAATTTCAGCATCACTCATCATTTCTGTATTTTTATTCTTTGACCATTCTCGCATAAGTTCTCTTAATTCCGCCAATTTTGTTTTTTCAATGCGACCTTTTTCATCCATATTTTTAGATTGTGATATACGAGATTGTCGACGGGTTTCAGCAAGTTCATATCGTGCCATTTCAATTGTTGTACTTGGAACTAGCTGAGAAACTTTTGCTGGAGAATTATTATATCTAAATCTTCCTAAAGCAGTTTTATCACCAGGATTTAAAGCCACAAATGTCAAATATGCTAATGTTTTTTTAATATCAGGATTAATATATGCATATTTATTTGATTATTTATTATAATAACTATGAAGAACAAAATACCATGACAGCAGTATTTTCTTTTTCCAGTTATTGGATTTTCAGTTTCAACACGAACACCAACCTAAAAAAATGACTTTTAGGTAATTTTATTTAATACAAAAAGAAATGTCTACCCATCCTCAAGAATTTGTAAAGGTTGATAATAGTTATAATGATAATAATATCCAGAATGATGAATGACATTGTATAGAAATATATTTGTGAGTGGCATCTTCAAAAAGTTCTGAACGATTTCTAATAAAAATTATTCTTAAAACGTATTTCTATCTATTGAGTTGAAACCCTGTGAAATATTTATGAGCTCATAAAATGCACTTTTATTAGGTAAACACATAAATTTGTTAGATTAAATTTATTTCTCGTAATTTCAAATCCATTATTTTTTTACTTGTATAACTCTGGTATGTTGTGTAAGAAAACGGTCTTACTAATTAATTATTTATCTTTATGGATGTGTCCAATCTCTAAAATATTATACGATCTATTACCTTTTGTTGTTAAAACAATCATAATAGATTGATCACATCAGTAATTATTTATGGTTTGGATTTTTCTTTTTCTTTTTTAAAAATAACATGAAAGAGTTGTTATACTAAAAAATCAGGTACACCATTATAATAATTCAGTTAAACCTTTTTATCAAATTTTTATTAATTACTATGGGCATTGATAAAAAATTAATCATCATCACATGATAAAATCAAATTTTACAATTTAATAATAAATTATCAATTAATCTTGTAGTACCAACATATAAAG